ACACTTTTCTGCTTTGACATAAGGTTTATTCTCCAGCAAACGTTGGAAAAATAGCATGGACATGGGACTGATGTTCCTGGCAGGTTTTGGGAAAAATTAGGATATCATCCAGATACACCAATACGAACCTGTCAACGAAGTCCCGGAGGACATCGTTAACTAATCTTGAAACATTGCGGGAGCATTAGTTAATCCAGGCGGCATGACCAAATACTTGTAGTCCCCCAATGGCTTGTTTAAAACGGTCTTCCACTTGTCTCCCTGATTGATCTGGAAAAAGTGGTGAGCGTTGCGGAGGTGGGGTTTTGTAAACCCTGTAGCGCTGTGAAATGGCCTGTAAGCAGAGCTAATGAGGTAATAGGTACTTATTCTTGATGGTAATATCACTGAGGCCCCTGAAGTAAATACATGGCCAGAGAGAGCCATCCTTTTTCCCCACAAAAAAGAAGTTCCAACTTATGCCTACAGCGAGGGATTCCTGAATCTACTTTTCCATAGCCGCACACTCAGGTTTAGACACGCTATACAGCCAGCTAGAAGGCCGGGTGGAGCCAGAGAGTAGTTCTATGGTGCAGTCATGTGGTCTGTGAGGTGGCAGTGAAAGCGCTTTACTTTTGCTAAATACTTCCTTAAGATCATGACATTTGGTGGGCATAGAGGAGAGACAGTCTCAGTGTTGGCTGATGGTTCCACAGGTTCCAGTGGACGGGTGGAAACAAGGCAATTTGAATGACAGAACAGACTCTAACTGATTACCCTCTGACCTGACCAGTCCAAGTGTGGATTATGTAATTCTAGCTAAGGAAAGCCGAGTATGAGTGGTTTGTGAGGTGAGGTGTTTTCTTGTGATTACCAGGGGTGACAGGCTCTGTGCGGTGAGTTATGTGAGGGGACAGTCGGTTATTTAATGACTTAGTGGGAATGGGCAGATTAAGGGGGCATAGAGGGATGTTTAACTGTCTCGCTAACTCAGACTCCATGAGGTTCTGATTGAAGAAGAGCCTGAAAGGTCTGGTTAACTAGCACAGAGACTTGGGGTTGCAATCTGGGTTGTTTTTTTTGTTTGTTTGTTTGTGTGAATATCCTCCACCCTTATCCCTGAACTTACCAGTGGTCAGACCCTGGTGTGGAATCGAAAACAGACAGGTTCATTGCAAGACGCAAGCTGATCTTTCATGGTTTGATTTAATTACTGAAAAAATACAGGGCACGGTGGTTAGCACT